TGCTCTTCCGATCTCCCCAAAACCCCAAAACCCCACTTCTCAAAATCAATTAACTAATTGTCTTTCATTATTATTGCTTTATAATTAACTTTAAGATTTATTATCATAATGGAAAGCACTGCGGGCAACTATACTACAGTCAGTGAACCTACCATTCAATAATTTGCTCCATATTGGGTAAATTAACTAAAATATAATGTTTCAAGCAAAAATACAAAGTTCTTCAGAATGATTGCAGAGAGCAAATGAATGCTATGGAAAAGCTATATGTGGTCATTTCTGAAATACTTCAGTGTGAAAAATCCTATGAGATTTCGCTCAGAAGGATAGGGATGCATAAACATGATATTTTAGGTATAGGATGCACTAGTGCATATCAAAAGCAAAGCCAAACTCAAAATAACTAGACTCAAATTTTCAATGTGTAAGCAAAAATTCAACTAATTAGAGTTGCAATCTAGTCATTGCAGATTAATAATAATTGATTTATCTCAATTATATTTTTTCAAATCAATGATTGCCTTTAAGAGTTTTAATAATTTTTATAGGTAGTATCAAACAGCTGTGTAGAGTCTGCAAAACTTTTGTCTGTCAAAAGCTGATTAAATTAAAAGAACTAGCTTAATACCAGTAGAATAACTTGGATAATCGCTTTCTGAATTGATAAGAAGACAAGATAAACACATGCAGCAATACATGAATGATGGATCTAGTTTGGTTTCATAGTTATAAAACATTTGCTAGTAATTAACTAACAGAAATCTTAGAGGCAATAAGAATGAAGGGAAATAGAAGAAAGAATAGTCACTTATATCAAAGATAATTGGCGGTTCAAAAAGTTAAAACAAGTAGTCATAGTCATATCAAGATAAATTAGTAAGCCAATCTGACTAGTTGAAAAAAGATCAAGATCAAATAATGGCTGACTACTAGAAGGTGGTTAAAGATTCATATTTCTTCAGGACTACATATGCTATCAAAATGACAGAGATACTTGAGTAAACTGAGAAAACTATGCGACTAAACATTGAGTCTGTTTCAAACTGCATTATCGAGTATGCAAATATGAATAAGCAACACAATTATGAGATGGGCTTGCACATTGATAAACTTCACAAGGTAATATTAGAAATTTTTAATAAATATACAGGATATCTAAGAGATGTAACTTAAAGATTGCATTGAGCAACATTTGCAATCATTGCCAGAATTTGATGTAACTTTCATTGAATAATCAAGCTAATTATAGAAATAAAAAGTCATTGATTTTAGCAGAGACTTTTAGAACAATCAAAGCTCTATGGGACACTAAAGTCCAACCAAAAGTTGCCCTGAGATAGATTAAGATATGCTGAAATCTCAGATGAATATGAATCAATTCTTAATGAATGTCTCAGCAAGTATTGATAAGCTGATTCTTTAGTGCTGGGATGGTATTAGACTTCGTGATGAAGAAAAAAATGCTGTAATTAAAAAAATATGAAATAAACTTAATAGTTCAGAATGATGATAAGACACAATTAATCTCAGTTGATATTTATTAACTTGCTTAATCAATTCAGAATCAAGAATATTCACAGCATGAATTCTGACCAGGCAATAATGTCAATAAGTGAACTCATAAAGATTGTCCTGGATGAAATTATAAATGTAGCAGATACCTATGTTGCTGTTAACTGTCTACTTCTTTCATCAACATTCTACTACAACCCTGCCTCACAAGGTGGACAGAATACTAAAAAATTCCTTTATGAGCTAATTTTAGATCATAGAATATGGCAAGACATTGACTTTTGGGAAAGAGCTATAACCTGTAAGATTAAAGGTTTCCTTCTTAATAAAATATAGAGTAAATTTAAAAAGATTTGAACCAACACACCGACTCGGGAACTTTAGGTAATGAGGATCAATAAGAAAAAGCGTAGAGATTCAACGAGGTTGTTTTCGCAATATTATCTAGCTTGTAGCAGGAGATGCTTACTTACAACATTTAAAAAGACATAATTAAGGCTTTGGTCAATAAGATTTGCAAGAATACAGCAGGATTCCCAGATATTTACCTTCATTCAATGCTTGTAAAGATATTTTTAGAGTAAATTTGTTTAGTCTAAAATTGATGATTATGTACAACAGCCTCAGTAAGTTCAAATCGTACATAATGCCAGATTATATATGAGTGACCCTCAAAACGATCCTTTGTTTGAGGAATAGAAGAAATCAAACAGAAATAGCATATCACCTTTGAACACAAGTATGATGTCAGATACAACTGCCAGAAAGATATCAGAGATGTCAAGTATCTCTACAATTAAGGATGAAGTGTCCAGAACTCCTTCTCCGAAATTATCCCCCAAAGCAGATTAAGGTTCGAAGAATATTAATAAATCAATTTAAAAAACCATCGAGGATGAGCAGAAATTCCTCTAGCAAGATTTATAGAAGATCAATGTGTAACAATAGAGTAAGTAAATCGAGATTCCTGAAGAGGAATAGCTTCTAATTGGCTCTTTAAAGGATGAAAACTTTGAGTTCTAAACTCTATAGCAGATGCGCTAAGATAACAGAATGACTAGATCATTGAGAGATTGAAAGGTATTGCTGACAGTTCGGATGGCCATCACCCTTTCTTATAATGCTTAGTTAATATTAACTCATAACATAAAGAGTATTAATTGAAATAAATAATTAAGAATCTATAGAGAATGATTTAATATCTTCAGCCTCATAAATATATTAAAATTAATTGTTTATTTTAAGCATGCCAAAATCCTTCTTCTACGGAGATCTTCTCTCAGACCACGAAAGTAAGTATCTCCACTAGATTCAGGAATTAACAATCAAATAGATAGATTCATCAAGAAATCTTACCTCAAATTCCCAGCCATCATTAGATTAAGATCCAATCCAGGCGATGGAGTTGTAAGTTTATGCAGCGTATCTTATTCCTTAATTAGGATCTCAGCCATGTTTTCAAAATAAAGAAGATCATTGAAAAGAAAAAAGCCGAGGGTGTGTCTGATTCTGTCTCTACCCTTTCCTATTAAGTTGTGAATGGAACCACTCTTAATTACAGTGGAGTGAAGGATGTTTCCCAAAAACTCAAGCTTGGAAACACCTCCATCAACTACGAGGTCGAGTACGAGCCATCAGAGCACAACAACGACGACAGAGCTGTCCAAGTTAAGCACCTTAGCAAATACGAACCAGGAACTGGAAAATATGATAACACTGAATCTCTTAAAGTTGGAGTTCCAAAGGTTGGCCCTCTTCGCCCATGGTTTACTGTAAGCTTCACAAACATATTTTCTCCATCGCCTTTTGAGGCAAAATATTATTTTCTTGAGAAATTAAACACATATCTAATACTTTTGAATATAGCTTGACTTCAATTGGAACAATCTCGATACCAAGAGAAAACTTAAGAACTCTCTAAATTTCCAATACAACGATTACCATTTAGGTTACAAGCTAAAGCATGACTTGAATGCGCTTCAGAAAATTGTCGGAGTTTTCGCACTTAAGAATCATAAGGGGGATTTCTTCTTCAAAGCTGATGGTTTAAAGCAACACTTTACTCTTGGCTGCAACCATTCTCATCACTCAGGAGCCAAGCACTCAATGGAAGTTATCTACGACCATACATAAAAACTCCAAGGAGTTTACGGACAACCTCTAGCTTTGAAATTCGCAGGTGAATACGATCTCTCAAGCGATCTTACTCTAAAGACAACAATTGTTTCTAAAAAGGAGACTGTTTTAGGTTTCTAAACAATCCACAGAGTGAACAAGAACTTTAGATTCGTGTTCTCAGACGTGTTCAACCTCAACAAAGCCATTTTCGAGCCAAAGAACACCAACTACAATTTCGGTCTCCTCTTGGAATTCACTCTCTGAAGAAACAGCTTTGCACGCAGGGTATGATTTTATCCTAGAATACTGATTTATTTTTAGGTTAGAAGGTATAAAAATGGAAATCTAAAACTATCAACTTTCATAATCTTCTACCTCACATTTATTTAAAATGGCTAGATTCTCTATTCTCGTTTATTTTTACTAGAGGGGTTTTGGGGTTTTGGGGTTTTGGGG